GGTCTGTGGATGGCCAAGTGAGTTGTATAATCACAGCAGCTCTGAAGTGAGAGTGCGGTGAAATCACTCTGGCCTGAAGTGGAACAGGAAGGCTTAGTGTAAGAAATGGAACTTTTAAAAAGATATTTTTTTATTGACTTCAGAGAGGAAGAGAGAAGGAGAGACAGAAACATCAATGATGAGAGAAAATCATTGATCAGGCTGCCTCCTGCACACCCCACACTGGGGATGGAGCCCACAGCCCAGGCATGTGCCCTGACCAGGAATTGAACCGTGACCTCCTGATTCATAGGTTGACGCTCAATCACTGAGCCACGCCGGCCAGGTGAAATGGAACTTTTTAAGTTAATCGGTTATTTTATTTATACCTAACCCCAATCCCAAATATTGGTGGGATTTTTTTAAGCACGTAATGAACGGTGGAAATAAACAGTGGAGAAAGTCAGAGGGAGGAGAGAACACAGACAGGGGAAAAGCAAGGCCAGCCGTAAGATTTCACCTAATTATGTCCCAGACCATCTAGCGCTAGATATGGGCAAATCCGGCTATGACTGTCCTGTGATGATGGCAAAAAAGGGAAATATGATCAGTTGCAAAATTCATATATGCCAATATGTGTCTTCTATGTCAGCCACTGTTCTAAGCATTTTAGATGTGTTCACTCCCTTCTTGGCATAGCAGCTCTATGAATTGGTGCTATGTGATTGCTGTTTATGTGGATGGGAAACTGAGGCTCTGGAAAGTTAAATAGGCGGCCCAGTACTCACGGTGGCAGCACTGAAATTTGAACTCTGGTTGCCCAGTTCACAGCCCTTAAGGACTAAGCAATGCTATTTTGATAGACAACATATAACAAATAATAGAAAGCCAGCAGTTCAGGGGGAGGATTTCCTAACACTGAGAGCTAAGCCCTCATAAAGACAAATAGTTTGACAAAGTACACTAGCTTCCAGATTGAGGGATTTCCCAGGTCAGTTTTTTTTTTAAAAAAATGTTCTTATCGGTTGCAGGCTCCTTTCCAGCACAGGCTCTGGTCAGGGGCATGCAGGAGGCAACCAATTGTTGTGTTTCTCTTACATTGATGTTTCTGTCTTCCCCTGTCTCTTCCACTCTCTAAAAATCAATGGGAAAATATCCTCGGGTGAGGATTTTTTTAAAAAGTTTTTATATATGATGTACAGCCTAGCTGGTGTGGCTCAGGGGTTGAGCATTGATCCATGAAACAGGAGATCATGGTTTCATTCCTGGTCAGGGCGCATGCCTGAGTTGCAGGTTTGATCCCCAGTAGGGGGCATGCAGGAGGCAGCTGATTGATGATTCTCTCTCATCATTGATGTTTCTATCTCTCTCTCCCTCTCCCGTCCTCTCTCTGAAATCAATTTATAAAAACATATTTTTAATAAATCCTTAAAAAATATGATGTGCAGCTGTCCAACTCTTTTTGTTTGTGTGTGTCAAGTAAGAACATTAAAACAACAACTACTACTACCAGGGATTGTCAATATTATTTCAGGAAATAAATAACATGTAAGTACAAAACACACACACACACACACACACACACACACACACACACACAAGCATAATCGAAACACAGGGGATCTAGCTTTACAATTTTGAGTAAATTCAGCTTTGTGAAAAATGTACACCGTCCTTGTCTTTTTCATTGGCCTCTGACAGGTGAAGAGCTGTCAGGTGAAGAGCTGTCAGAGAATATCAATGGTTGTCAGAACCACTGACAACCTCTCTTCGGCATCACTGTGACCCCAGGACAGCAAGGACCCAAAGGCAGAACTGAGACTCCATTCTTCTCCAGGCCGGATCCCAGGAAGGTCTCAAAATTAAGTCTCTTAAGAACCAGAAGATATGATCACATCAAAAAAACACACACAGAAGGTCTGTGAGCAGCAGCCAGAGCAGGTGGCCTCAATCATGATTTCACACAAGATGCACATATCGCTCACCAACATGAGCGCATCACTGCAGGCTGTGAGACACGCCACCGGGACACGCGTACCATCAGGCTGTAATTTCAATCTGGAATAAAACTGAATACTGTATCTTTTTTAAAGGAACACATTATGCTTCAAGAAAATATAAGATGAACACCAGGAACATGATTCGATTTTCCTGATGCTAACACATTGGCAGTATTTTCCTATTTTGTTTGGTAAAGAATTTTGAGTTGCTTCTAAATTTATGCTGAAACCCATTGGATGCTTTCCGAGGCCGAAGCCAGCAGCTCCCTTTGTTCAGGGAGTTGTATTTACAATCCCCACTGTTCCTATATGTCCATTAGAATGCAATTATCCTGCTTGGGGGGAAATAAAGGTCACTGGGTTAATGGAGCTCACCTTTCTTTTTTAGCTCATAAATAATAAATCAAATATAATATTTAAAAAGAAAACCACATCCTGCATATCATTGTGTTTCTGTTGCTTTTCTCACAGAACATTTGAGTACATGGCACTTACTATGGCCATAATCATTACAGTCCATCAAGTTCCTATAGCAGTGATGGCGAACCTTTTGAGCTCTGCGTGTCAGCATTTTGAAAAACCCTAACTTAACTCTGGTGCCATGTCACATATAGAAATTTTTTGATATTTACAACCATAGTAAAACAAAGATTTATATTTTTGATATTTATTTTATATATTTAAATGCCATTTAACAAAGAAAAATCAACCAAAAAAATGAGTTAGTGTGTCACCTCTGACATGCATGTCATAGGTTCTCCATCACTGTCCTATAGCACTGGTTCAGTCAAGAAATACATATCATGCATCTATTAAATTGATAGTCATAAAAACTCAAATGGTCAAGAAATTTCTCATGACATTTTCTTTTTTTAAAATATATTTTATTGATTTTTTACAGAGAGGAAGGGAGAGGGATAGAAAGTTAGAAACATCAATGAGAGAGAAACATCGATCAGCTGCCTCCTGCACACCCCCTATTGGGGATGTGCCCGCAACCAAGGCTCATGCCCTTGACTAGACTCGAACCTGGGCCCCTTCAGTCTGCAGGCCGATGCTCTATCCACTGAACAAACCGGTCAGGGCCTCATGACATTTTCAAGGTAGACTATGGTACATTCTACTCTGACTGTAAGAAACAACTCACAAGATTATTTATACTAGCAAATATACAGAAAATCTCATGGACTTAATCAAAGTATTGGCAAAGATATGCATTTTAAAAATTTTAAACAAATGTGTACAGATTCAAGCACATTCCGTTGCTTCCAAAACAACTTACCAACAGTACTTGTAAGGAGACAGCCCTTATGACCACGCCAATAATAATAAATATTTCTAGGCAAGAATCTGCTGCCACTAGTTTCCCTAATGACAAAACGAAGACATTCCTGCCAGCTAAAGAGCTGAACACGGCTCTCAGCCCAAAAGAGCCCAATCGATGTTTTCACTTCGGGCTTCCCAAGGGAACAACTAAGCAATCGCTCCAGTACCTGGCACATCGAGATTTATAAGGCAGAATAGGAACACACGGCCTAAACAGCTTCAGAAAGCCACTTGTCTAGAGAAACTAAAAACAAAACAAAACACACAAAAAACTAAAAACAAAGCAAAAAACAACAACAGAGCATCTGCTATTATATCACCATGCCCCTGAAAATAAGGCTACATGTCTCATGCGATTTATCTAAGAAATATTTTTTAAATAAAAAGGGAATGATAGTACACCTCTGAGCCTATTATAAGAACTGTTAAACACTTATAAATAACTCCCCCAAAATAATGAAAACGAAAAACTCCATTTCCACTTGACGCAGGCTTGTGCGACAAAGCGCACTGCAATAACCCAACAGAACCACACAGCTTCTGCCTCCTCGTTACGAGTTTCAGCAGCAGCCCAGCACAGCCCTGTGAAAGGCATTTTAACGGAATTGCAAACCCAGCAATGAACCAGACAACTGTTTTCCTAAATAACACAGCAATGGTACTCACAATTATTTCCAAAGTTTATTTGAAGGGCATGTGTCTGTCATCAACAGCCTGTCATTATTTGTTTTCATTATCATTAATAGCAACAAAAGTTGTTCTGCCAGGCACTGATCTAACAGTTTTATGCGAGTTACCTAACTTAATCCTTGAAAAAAAATTCAATGGTCTGTGAAGGGTGGCAGAATATACCCCAAAATATGCCACTTTGGCATAAGGATTATTTTGAGCTAAAGAAACCTAAAAAACAGTACATGCAAGAAGAGCATTCTAATCTCCCCTTTTCTTCCTGAAAACAGGAGATTAAAAACTCCCTTGTGAAAGATGCCCTCTTCTATACCAGGAGAAAAGAAACATTCTTTGATGAAGAGTCAAAGCCGAGAAAATTCTATAAAAATAGACCTCATTAAAATAATTCTTATCTTCCTGTAACCTCCTCATATATTTTAGTTACTTTTCCACAATCACCTCTTTTCATTTCCTTGTGAGGACTCCTATGTCACATAAAAATTATCTAGATTTGTAGCTTTTCTCCTATTAATTTGTTTTATGTCAGTTTCATTCCCAGGCACAGCCAAAACACCCTTTAGATGATAGAGGTAAAAGTCTGCCTCCCCTATATCTGTGATAATTTGAATCTAATTAACACTATAGATCAGTACAAAGCATTAACTAACACTATTTAAATATAGACACTTATTTTCCTTAATATTCATTCTCATTGTAAATACTTTTGGTTTTGAGCCCTGCCGGTGTTGCTCAGTGGTTGAGCATCCACCCATGAACCAAGAGGTCACCAGATCAATCCCCGGTCAGGGCACATGCCTGGGTTGTGGGCTCAGTTCCCAGTAGGGGTGTTGATGCTTTTCTCTCTCTCAGTGATGTTTCTATCTCTCTATCCCTCTCCCTTCCTCTCTCTCTAAAATCAATGAAAACATATTTTAAAAATATTTTTGGTTTTAAAATTTATCTGGGTTCCCCAGAAAGGTTTCCTTAAAGTATTAGTCATTTTACTAAATATCATCAGATACTTACTTCTTTACTTATTACAAGAACTTTTACATCTGTTTTACAAAAAAACGAAGCAGGCCGATTGGTATTAGTTAAAAGGCAGGTTTCCTGAAAAATAAAAACAAATGGATTTCTTCAGGAATTTTTTCAGCCCTGATGTTATTATTACAATGAAACTCTGGCACCGTATGGAATTATAAGTATGCATCATTTTAGGCAAATAATTTTTAAAAAAACAAATCTTGAGCAATAAAAAGCAATTGGAATTGATAAATAAGGACTGTCCTGGTCTTACTTTCACATAATCTATCAGTCCCAGCAGCACTAAAATGTAAGGACTATTTTATAAAAACAGAATGCAGGGTTGAACAATTATTTATTCTGGAATACTTGCTATATTAAAACAACAGCATAATCTGCAAACACACAAAATGCTGTATGTTAACTCCACTCAACATTTATTACTAAGAAAAAAGGGTGCTTTGTCCTACAGATGGCCAACTTGGAGTGGATGCTAACCTAGATCCATGAGGTTCAATGAGGGGTATGGTGTGAGTATAACCAAATACAAAATTATAAAAAATTTTAGTGATTCTAATATTGAAAAAGATGTAGCAATAAAGAATCAAGGTGAGTTTATCTTATTGAAGGGAGAGTGACATGACTTTAACATCTCTCTTTTCTTGAGATGGGACATCCATCTTATGCAGCCCTTGGACGTCAGCACTCCTGGTTCTCAGGCCGTCACACCTGGACCAGGCCTTCCACCATCTATCCCCCTGGTTCTTGGTCTTTGGACTTGGACTGAATTATACCCATGGCTTCCCTGGTTCTCCAGCTTGCAGACAGCAGGCTGTGGGACTTCTCTGCCTCCCATTCCTACAATAAATCTCCTCTTACATATATCTGTATATATCCTATTGGTTCTGCTTCCCCAGAGAACCCTATATGGATTTTGGTTGAGAAATACCAGTTCAGATAATCTCCAAGTTTCTTCCTTTTAGTTAAAAAAAATATATCAGTGGCTCCATTTAATCTGCTCACAGTTGCAGCAGCATGGCAGAGTAAACAGAGCACTGATGCAGGATTCTCCTACCCTTTCTGCCACCAACTAGCTGTCTTAAAAGGAGCAATTCAGCTAACTGCTCTGGTTCTCCATTCATGAAGGCGTAGAGTGAAAGAGTTTGTTTAGCTGACCTCTGAAGCTCCATCCAACACTAAGGTGCTGATCCTGGGGAAGATCTTGATGTCCACAAAGGGTCATAAAGTTCTAAGTAAGAGTGCTTCCAAAGTGCCTCCAGCACTAGAACATTCAGCCAGTCACAGGCTGGCCAACATCTTAGCCAATGTTCAATCTATCAAGACATATTTGACCCACCAGTGATGATACATAATTAACAATGGGAATACCATGGAAAAAATAAGGTTTGCTTTTTATTGAAAACTAGAGGCCTGGTGCATGAAATTTGTGCACTGGGCAGGGGCGCGGGGGGCGGAGGGGGGATGTCCCTCAGCCCAGCCTGCACCCTCTCCAACCTGCGACCCCTCAAGAGATGTCCCACAGGGATCGGGCCTAAACGGGCAGTCGGACATCCTCTCACAATCCAGGACTGCTGGCTCCCAACAGCTCACCTGCCTGCCTGCCTACCTGATTGCCCCTAACCACTTCTGCCTGCCAGCCTGATCACCCCCTAACCACTCCCCTGTCAGCCTGATTGACACCTAACTGTTCCCCTGACAGCCCAATTGCCCCCAACTGCCCTCCCCTGCAGGCCTGGTCACCCCCAACAGCCCTCCCCTGCCAGCCCGGTCACCCCCAATTGTCCTCCCCTGCTGGCTTGGTTACCCCTAACTGCCCTCCCCTGCTGGCCTGGTCCCTCCAAACTGCCCTCCCCTGCTGGCCTGATCGCCCACAAATGCCCTCCCCTGCAGGCCATCTTGTGGCCACATGGGGGCGGCCATCTTGTGTGTTGGAATGATGGTCAATTGCATACTGATTGTGACTAATTAGCATATCTGGTTGTGACTAATTAGCATGTCAGGACTAATTAGCATATCCCTCTCTTATTATTGTGTTGGAGTGAAGGTCAATTTGCATACTGGTCATGACTAATTAGCATACCTGGTCATGATTGTGAGGGCATCATGACCAATTTGCATAATATATAGATATATAGTTAGGAATACATCTTTGTCCTTTGCCCTTCTCATTGGATTTGTTAGCAATAAAATATATTGAATCCATCTAGTATTGGTATTCCCATAGTCAGTACCTTGCTTCAGAGTCTGCTCATCAATTTTCCACCTGCTCCAATTCCATGTTGTCCTTTCTCTGCTAACATAACCCACCTATGTTAACATTTAGTAGATGACTCATCACATCAGTCATCTGTCTAAATGTTAATCTGATTCATCTCCCTCTGACTTAAAACACTTCAATGAGCTCCACTGCCTGTAGAATTAAGTCCAAACTCTTCATCATGATTTTCAATACCATATTTGTCCTCAGCTGACATTTCCAAAATAAAAACCAGCAACTGTTCTCACCTCCAAGACCTCCACACTTAGGTACTTTTGGATCCAAGGATCTCCAAATCAAATCTTCCCTCAACTAAATACAGAAATGAAGCAAGTTTTATTCCTACACACAAGCTGCTTTCTGCCCTAAATTTTATCCCTTTTGCATAAAGTATTTTACAAGCATAGACTTTCTTTAAAGAATCAAAAATATCTCCTTGAATCAGTAACTGTTTTGGTACACTTTTTAAAAAATACCAGCCTCCAAAGCTACAGGGTTTGTAACTCATTCATTTAACTGGGCAATCATTCATATAACAATCAATTATGAATCTTGCAGGTCCTGTATGTTGGCAAACTATATATCAGGCTATATGTCAGCTCTACACTGCTAAGGAAAATACACATTCTTTAAGCATTTCAATTACTGAAATATTTCATACTTGAGGACAATTTTATTTTAGTACAATGACACATAACTTAAATTTTTAAAAATAAAAATGGTAAGAGACTGAGAAATTTAGACAATATTTACCCCTATGAAGTCACCTTCTTCAAACTCATTTAAAATTCCAGAGTTGGTATTTCGGTTCATGCTGGTATTACTTGACATGACCTTTAAATGTCCAGCAAGAATCAGGTAGCATTCAAGTGGTACATGTCCTTGTCTTAGAAGCATACTTCCAGCTTCAAATCTGGGGAGAGAGAATATTAAAAACACTTCTGCAAAATGGCAAGTTTGAAGTCATCGTTGGCAAACAAAATGCTGTCATCTTCACCTGTAAAGAATTTTATGTTTTGTTAAGAAGCAATTATCATCTTCTGGTATAGACCTTGAAGGCAAGGACTAGAGCCAACCTGTCCACTGCTATAGCATTGGTGCCGAGAATGGCACTTGGCTCATAAACTAGGCCCTCAATGAATATATATTGAGTGGATTATGAATAGGCAGAAGGAGGTGTTGCACAATCACAGAACAGAAAGTCTCCACACAAATGAATTCCTTAGATAAGCCCTGCTTTCACAAAATATAGGTATTTTTAAAACACTACTGAATTCATGAGGTAAGGCAAGATTTTTGGTTTTCTGGGAGACAAATTTGGTATTGATTAGCATTCCTTTGATCAAGACTTTTAAAAAATACATTAAGTCCTGACTTTTTTATTAATTTTACCATTTTGTTTTCTTACATAAATATAATCTCCAAAAGTTTCTTGGAACTGTGGCAAAATGACTTATAATAAAACCACCTTTCCCATAGGCTAATTGATATAAACAAGAGTTAAGCTCCTATGGCATCTCATCACCATTATAACAAATGACATTGAACAAAACGTTATTTGAGGATGTGCTGTATTATACTCAGGAACAGTTTTGTAAATCTGCTGCTTTTCCCTATTTGTAGGTATTGAGCCAGAGGACAGTAGTTTGCCCACTCCAAGTTTATAGAAACAACCCATCCCTGGTAGTAATGCATAATGAACTTTAATGAATATAAAAAAATCACCTGGGGCATTTGATAAAAGATCAAGATTCCTATACACCCTGGAAATTCTGGTTTGGTAGATCTGGGGTGGAGCCTTGGCATCTGTATTCTTAAAAGGATCTCCAGATTATTTTGATAACAACCACACTTAGAGAAACATTGTATTTGAGGCTAAGAACAAACATTATTTATTTTCTTTTTCTTACATCAGTAATTTTTGTGAAGACTGGAATGGGGCACGTTCCATGAAATATTGGGAAGTCTGGATAATTTTAGAGTTTCATTTAATTACTACCCAGAATTCTTTCTTCCTAGAAGGATAAGAGTTATAATATCTATATTCCAAATTAGGCAGGTTTCACTAATGAGAATGTTAATGATAAAGATGACAGTGTTATATATTAAAGACTAGAGGCCCGGTACACAAAAATTTGTGCACTCGGGGGGGGGGGGGGGGGAATCCCTCAGCCTGGCCTGTGCCCTCTCACAGAGTCTGGGACCACTCAGGGGATCACCACCTGCTGGCTTAGGCCCACTCCCCGGGGGACTGGGCCTAAGCTGGCAGTCAGACATCCCTCTGGCAGCCCGGCAGCCCTCCGGGAATGTCCACTTGCCAGCGGGGAGCAGGCCTAAGCTGCAGTAGGACATCTTTAGCGCTGCTGAGGAGGCGGGAGAGGATCCCACCACCACCGCTGTACTGGCAGCCGACAGCCTGGCTTGTAGCTGAGCAGAGCTCCCCCTGTGGGAGCGCACTGACCACCAGGGGGCAGCTCCTGCATTGAGCGTCTGCCCCCTGGCGGTCAGTGTGTGTGTCATAGTGACCAGTCATTCCCAGTTGTTCTGCTGTTAGGGTCAGTTTGCATATTACCCTTTTATTATATAGGATAGAGGCTTGGTGCATGGGTGGGGGCCAGCTGGTTTGAGTGTGTCCCGGATCAGGGTGGGGGTCCCACTGGGGTGCCTGGCCAGCCTGGGTGAGGGGCTGAGGGCCGTTTTCAGGCTGGCCACACCCCCTTCAGGGAGGGGGCTCCTGCTGGGGTGCCTGGCCAGTCTGGGTGAGGGGCTGATGGTTGTTTGCAGGCTGGCCAAGCCCCCCAGTGGGGACCCTCACCCATGAGGGTGTGGCCAGCCTGGGTGAGGGGCTGATGGCTGTTTGCAGGTTGGCCACAGCCCCTTCAGGGTGGGGGTCCCCGCTGGGGTGCCTGGCCAGCCTGGTTGAGAGGCTGGTTGATGTTTGCAGACTGGTCACAGCCCCTTCAGGGTTGGAATCCCCACTGGGGTGTCTGGCCAGCCTGGGTGAGGGGCTGAGGGCCGTTTTCAGGCTGGCCACACCCCCTTCAGGGTGGGGGGTCCTGCTGGGGTACCTGGCCAGTCTGGGTGAGGGGCTGATGGCTGTTTGCAGGCTGGCCAAGCCCCCCAGCAGGGATCCTCACCCCATGAGTGTGTGGCCAGCCTGGGTGAGTGGCTGATGGCTATTTGCAGGCTGGCCACGGCCCCCAGCCACCCAAGCTCCCAGTGGAGGCTGGCTGGAAGCAGGTATCTGGGATTTATTTATCTTCTATAATTGAAACTTTGTTGCCTTGAGTGGAGGCCATAGCCAGCCAGGGCAGGCAGAAAGCTTGGCTTCCTCCATCGCCAGGGCAACCAAGACTCCTGCTTGCTCCAGCTCCATCTTGGTTGGGTTAATTTGAATATAGTCGCTCTGATTGGCTGGTGGGCATGGCTTGAGGTGTAGCGGAGGTGTGGTCAATTTGCATGTTTCTCTTTTATTAGATTCGATACTCCCATCCCTGTGTTATCAGTGAGGAGGCCTCAACTCTAGCACTTGACATGCTATGAATCAATTACATGATGTTGAGAAAATCGCGTAGCTTCTACTTCCAATTCTTTATATATAAAATGGGAATAAATCTGTACCTACTACATACTTCATAATAATGTTTTAGAAGAAAATATGGAATATGTTTAAATTATTCAAAAGGAAGATTTTTATAAATAAAGTATTAGGATTTTGCCTTGCTTTAAGAAGTTTGACAGTGTGAAGGAGAGTTAGAAGCAGCACAGCTCCCACCAAAATTACTATACCAGGTATACCAGGTAATAAGTAAGTCTGCCACAGTTCCATGGAAGTTCTTATAAGACATGAAACTCTTGAGTCAGAGACTTATGAGTTGCAGCAAAAAGTGTAACAGGAGTGTCAGCATGGTGGCACCAGTCCCCAAGTCCCACGGGGCAATAGGATGGCCCAGGGGAATCTGCATATGCAATGGGGTGAGTCACAAGGGAAGAACTGGAGCTTAGGGCATCCACTGCTTTTACAATAGGCAGCAAGCGAGCTGTTTGTCTGGAAGGAAGCCAGGAACAGTATAATGTGTTATTATCTCAGGATTCACAGTTGCATGAACAATCCTGAGGAGTGTCCGGGGGAAAGGACCAGTCAAAGCTTTGAGATTTGGACACATTCAGCAAGATGTATACGAGCACAAAAGGCTCTTCACAGACTGTATCTCAGGATACTGGGCTTATTAATGAAAATGAATAGAATTTTAAAATAAGGTTCTACATTTACTTAAGGAATTATAATTCTAGTTCCAAAGGAAGACTATGCAAAAGGGAAATTTAACATTACTATATTCACTGCCTTTGGGAAGAGAGTCGCAAGATTAAAATGTGATGACTCCTGATTTTCCATTACTTTTACTCTGAAGAATTAAAAAGTTATTAAAAATTGCTGAAGTAACTGCTGCATCATAGACATACCCTCGAGATAGTAGTTGGTTTCTATGAATTAAGAAGAGTCCACAGGAATACCAGGGCATCAGAGAAGGGAGCCAATCATAAGGATGTGATGGGAAAGGGAAAGAGGGGAAGCATTGGGAATGGGGAACTTACAGAGGGAAGAGATGGGTGACAGGCACTAGAATGGGAAAAGAGTCTGGTATTCAAGACAGTCAGGTTTAATGCATCACAGACAGAGCAGGATGGTTCCACATTCTGTTTCCTCTCCTCTATGTTGTGAAAGTGGATGAGGGACATCATTCGCAGCCAGTTTTTCAAGTGCATCATTTGGCTGCCAGATGCCCATTATACTAATTGGATCACCAGCCTCCTCTATAACTCATTGACACAAGGATTCCAGGGCTACCCATTTCTTCTGAAGCATTAAAATTTAAGAATACCACCCATACAATAAACCATAAAATATTCACAGGAGCCTGTACTCTAGTATTAAATTGCAACTCCAGGATGGTTCTTCAATAGCCTATTTGAATGATGTGAAGGCATGCCAATGCTGAATAGGCTTTTCCTGCTTAAACATTTAATTTTATACTTCTGAAGACTCAAAGCTCTTGCGAATATTTACAGTTTGATTAAAATCATTTTCCTTAAGAATTTTTTTCTTTTTAAGCCCATAGATACAACTGCTCCAACCTAACAAATGCAGAAATCAGTATTTTTGTTAAGAATAGAAAAAGCAAGATTTAATACCATCACATCAGGCATTAACATGTCTACATAAGATATGCATATAGCTATATATGTTTATTGTATATTAAAATCTAAGAAGAGCCCATGAACATTATTAAATACTGATTCATTTTTGTTTTTCATTCTTCATGTAAAAGAATAAATGTGAATAAATAGTACTATCAATCTTCAATGAGTGAGGTGTTTATGACAATAACTCTCCATTAAAATTTATAAATAACTAGAGGCCTGGTGCACGAAAATTTGTGCACCAGGTGGGGGGTGGTACCTCAGACTGGCCTGCCCCCTCTCACAGCCTGGGAGCCCTCAGGGGATGTCCTACTGACAGCTTAAGCCTGCTCCTTGGGGGGAGCAGGCCTAAGCCGCAGTCTGGCCTCCCTCTACAGGAGGCAACTGGGTCAATCAGGAGAAGCACCGCCCTCATCATCCCACTGCTGCTGCCACTGCCAGCTGCCTGCCCTGCTCAACCCTCACAGCCGCTGTGGCTTTGTCCGGAAGGACATCTGGAAGACATCCAGTCTACCTGGTCTAATTAGCATATTACCCTTTTATTAGTATAAATAATGATTTTTAAAATGAGACTGCATGTTAATACTACATAAGTTTTTCCAAGAAAGAATTATATACATGATTAATCTTGTATTAACCATTGTTATGGGTTCATACAACAGAATCCATTCTGATTGGTTTGAGAAAGAAAGGATTTA